CAATTTTAACTTTTCTGATCCATAAACTTGGGATACTTTTCCATTTATTTGTGTGTTCTGAAATCCTTTTATCAATGTCTTATAGTTTACAGTTCACACATCTTTCACCTTCTTAGGTAAATCTATTCCTAAGTATTTTGTTGTTTTGGTGGTATTGTAAGCGGGATTGTTTTCTTAATTCTTTTTTTGGATAGTTCATTGTTAATGTGTAGAATCACAACTGATTTTTGTGTGTTGACTTTTTATCCTGCAACTTTACTGAATTCATTTATTAGTTCTAACAGTTTCTTCTATAGAGTCTTTAAGGTTTTCTATATATAAAATCATGTTATCTGAAAACAAAGAAAGTTTTATTTCTTCTTTTCCAATTTGGATGCCTTTTATTTCATTTCCTTGCCCAGTTATTCTGGCTAGGACTTCTGGTACTATATTGAATAGAAGTGGTGAGAGTGAGCATCCTCGTCTTGTTTCTGACCTTAGAGGAAAAGCTTTCAGTGTTCAGTGTTGAGTATGATGTTAGCTGTGGGCTTGTCATATATGACCTTTATTATGCTGATGTATGTTCCCTCTATATCCAGTTTTTTGAGTTTTTTTATCATCAAAGAATGTTGTATTTTGTCAAATGTTTTTTCTGCATCTATTGAGGTAATCATATGTTAATTTTGCTAATGTGGTGTATCACATTGATTTGTGGATGTTGAACCATTTTTGCATCCCTGGAATAAATCCCATTTAATCATGATGTATGTTCTCTTAATGTATTGTTGAATTCAATTTGCTAATATATTTTTTTGTTTATTTTTTGTGAGGAAGATTGGCCCTGAGGTAACATCTGTTGCCAACCTTCCTCTTTTTGCTTGAGGGAGATTGTTGCTGAGGTAACATCTGTGCCAATCTTCCTCTATTTTCTATGTGGGATGCTGCCACAGCATGGCTTGACAAGTGGTGCTAGGTCCGTGCCCAGCATCCAAACTTGTGAACCCTGGGCCGCCAAAGCAGAGTGTGTGAACTTAACTACTACGCCACCGGCCCAGCCCCTCAGTTTGCTAATATTTTGTTGATGATTTTTACGTCAATGTTCATCAGGGCTATTGACTTGTAATTTTCTTTTCTGGTAGTCTCCTTGCTTGGCTTTTTTTATCAAGGTATGGCTGGCCTCATAAAATGAATTTGGAAGTGTTCCCTCCTCTTCTACTTTTTGTAAGAATTTGAGAAAGATGGGTATTAGTTCTTCTTTAAATCATTGGTGGAGTTCACCAGTGAAGCCATCTGGTCCTGGACTTTTCTTTGTTGGAAAGTTTTTGATTACTGATTCAATCTCCTTACTAGTAATTGCTCTGTTCAGCTTTTCTACTTCTTCATGATTCAGTCTTGGTATGTTGTATGTTTCTAGGAATTTATCCTGAGCTTATTTAAAACAACATTTTGAATTTTTTATCAAGCAAATTGTGGATTTCCATTCATTTGGGATCGGTTACCAGAAAATTATTACGTCCTTTGGTGGTGTCATGTTTCCTTGATTTCCGCGCCCCTTGAAGCCTTGTGTTGCTGTTCTGCATTTGTAGAAGCAGTCACCTCCTCTTTATGGACTGTCTTCAGGAGAGAAATACTTTCTGTCAGCAGTGTTAGGGATCCTGAGGCTTTCTCAGACTTTTTCAATGGATATAACTGCTCTGTACTTCTTGTTCCTTCTTGGAGGGCAATTCTTAAGATTGTATGCCTTCTCTCAATCCCACAAAGCCAGGCTGGGTTCTGGCAGCTTCTTGTTTGCTTTCTTTAGGGTGATGCTGAATGCTCAAGTTTGTGTGTTTTCTGCTAATACTGCAGATTTGAGTCAACTTTCTGCACATGTTCACAAGCTGTCTACAAAGACTCACTCTCTCCACCTTTGGCCTCTGAAATACATACAGCCAGCTGGCCATGGGGTGGGAGTGTGTGGGTGAGGTGCTTGGAGCATTGGCGGTGCCCGTGAGCCAGTTGGTGAGCATTCTTAGTGGCTCATCGGTGGGCTTCTTGATGGACTACGTGAATCACTTAGTAGGAACCACGTTGCTTTGATGTGTTTCATTCAGAGCCCTGGCTGCTCTTGTCCTAGCTGCTTACTGCCACTGTCACTCGGTCACAGCTCGATATTGTGGATAGGTGGGAAACAAATGGGCATCTTCAGTAGCATCCTGAACAGCTAGGGAAATCGTGTCTCCCTCACACACTTTCCTTCCTCCTTGGTAGAAAACACAGGCAGAGAAGGTCTTCCTTGGAACTGAGCTGTGCCGCCTTGGAGTACAAGTGACACAGGTAAAGTGAACCTGTTCCTTTTACCCTCTTCAGTGTGTCCAGTCTGGGTTGTTTTGTGTGTGTGTGTGTGTGTGTGCTAACAATGTGCTGGAACTTCTCCACTGGGCTCACAGACTTCCACAAACACTCTTGTCTGTGAATGATTGTCAAAATCAGTCTTCTCTGGGGGGTGTGAGATGGTAGAAAACTCCTATACTGTGATTTTGATGATGTTACACTGGAAAGAGATTTTCTTAATGTGATTTTAAATACTATGTGGGAGCAGTGTAGTATAGCAGTTAAGAAAAGGGCTTCTGGAGTAGATTTGCCTGAATTTTATCCCTAACTTCCTTTCTTTTAGCTGGGTGACCTTATCTAAACCTAGTGGGACTTTGTTTCCATGTCTGTTAAATGGAGATGATAATAATACTTACACCAAAGAGTTTTTGAGAACCTTAAATGAGCTAATAAATGCAAAGCACTTAGAAGAAAGCCTGTTACACAGGAAATACTCAGTAAATGTTGGCTAAGGTTGATGTGACTGATGACAGAAAGCTTAGGCTCAAACAGAATATATCTAAACTGCCACTACAGTTTAGTTCCTATTCTTACTCCTAACTAATATACATTTTACCCAGGTTTACAGGCTGTTAAATGAAAACCTTACATCCAGATGCCCTCACTTCAGTTCAGGTAATTTTTTTGTGTTGAAAGAGTTATTGGAAAATCTTTGCTATCCAGAGCATCTTGGAGTTTCGAATTGCAGATAAGAAGTGGAGACATGTACAGTATTTTGTGTTTTCCCTGGGTTTGCTGTTATCCTGTGTATATTCAGACACAAGAGCATTTATTATATGTATAGACCACAGGTGCCAAAAGGAAAGTAAAATCTCTCTTCCTTTTGTGTAACCCCAAGGATAGTATCATGGTTACGGCAGAGATATTTGGTGCTCAATTAATATCCATGAACTTTTCTGCATTTCCCAGCCTCCTTTGCATTCAGTTTGGGGCAATGAGCAGAAATGATGAAAATCCTTTCCCGGCTAAGGCAGTTAAGAGACGTTCCTCCAACCCTCTCTTCCCCTGTCGTGTCAACCTTGGAGGACATGACTTGAGATGGAAGTGACATAGATGAAGGGACTCTAGCTCCCTGGATCACTAAATGGAGAGCCTGGCAAATCCACATAGAAACTGATGTACCTGAGGAAGATTTATTTATGTTATCACTAAGGTTTTGAGATTTTCTATTGTAGCAGCTGGTATCAACTACTCAACATAACAAAACAGTGGTCAATTGAGAATGTGCTCAGTTAAGGCCATATAGTGATGCTTCTAATAATGATGGATAGTAAAAAGTGAAAGTGTAATTTGTAACCCTGATAGAAGATAGGGCTGCATGTGGTCTTATCTCTGCACGCAATCACATTTAAAATATAGTCCAATAGCCAAAACAAATTTAAAAGGAGTTTTTATATTTTATCTGAATCTCTTAGAGATCACTAAAGAGAATCCAGATTAGCTCTTCACACAGTTTTCAAAAGCTCATTTCCTCTCCTCCTAAATTCTTACACACTTCGCAGCAGTGGTCTATGAGGTGACATCCACTGTACAGAGCATGCCTCTCTGACTGTTTTTTCCATGTCAGAGATTGGGATGGTACCAGATTGGTCAGTTTGCCATCATGACTCATCAGACATTTACTTAGATATTTACTACCCTCGCTGTTCTTTATTCATCTAGAAACCCCATTCTCCTTGTTTATGTCACTGTGTATGTGCGCACACATCCATGCACTCACAGACATATATGATCTATTTCATGATCTTGGTGTGGTGTGAGATATATGTATATACCTTTGATATTGTGAAATATATCACACTCAGGTCATGAAATGATTCAGTAACACTGCTGCCTAACTTACATTTAAAACTTCTGATTCCAATTAATAGCAAAAATATTTACAGATATTCACAAGCAATGATGCATATTGAATGTTAAACACTTTGTAATCTTTTATCTCATTGCATATCAATGGAAGAAAATGTATAAGACTATAGGAGGTTCATGCAATATGGTTGTAATAACAGAGACACTCCAAAAGAAAATGGAGCCTAGAGTTTCTTCTTCATTCAGGGGCATATAAAGAAGGTACAAGCCAGATGGGTCAGGGGAAATGTCCATAAGCCCTTTCACTTCTGGCTCCTGCTTACGACTACTGGATTCCATTAGTAGGTTCTTGCCCACATCCTTAGAGGCAATGTCAACTGACCAGCTCTCTTTCTTTGTTCCTATTTCAGCAGGAAAAGTATATAGCCTTTACCCCTCCTATGACATCCTTGTATGCTACATATTGACAGGAGGTAAAACTACATATTTTATCACCTATAGATGTAAACAAATTCCACATACTTAAGAAGGATCCTGGCTTTCTTCATGGATAAAGTATATTTAATATAGTGAAGGGTAATGGATGAACCTTGAAGACATTATGCTATGGGAAATAAGCCAGACAGAAGAAGACAACTATAATATGATTCCACTATGTGAAGTACCTGGAACAGTCAAATTCACACAAACAGAAGGTAGGCTAGTGGTTACCAGGGTCTTAGGAGAGGGACAAATGGAGAGTTATTCTGTAATAGGTGCAGAGTTTTGCTTTTGGATGATGAAAAAGTTCTGGAATTGGATTGGGGTCATGGTTGCACAACAATGTGAATGTACTTAATGCCACTGAAATGTACACTTAAAAATGGTTAAAATGGCAAATTTTATATTATGTATATTTCACTCCTCCCCACCCCCCAGCACACAAAATAGTGAAGGACAGAACTAATCAAATTTAAAATATGGTGAATACCCTGGAGTTGGGACAAGTCATTTCCTCTCAGTCACCAAAGTCTATGCAATGAGATTATAGGTAGGTGTTACTTCACGGATTCTGTTGCATCCAGGTGCCAATTACAGAAGTATTTCACATGCTTTAAAAGTGAGTGATCAATGCAGAAGCTTCTGAGGGCTCATCTCGTCACTAAACATCGATCTCAAATAGGAAAAAATTCCAACACAGATATATCATTTTCCTTTGTTTATTTCATATCTAAATAAATTAGGAGGCTAAATGAGATGAAAAATATTTCCTTGATAGAGTATTAATCATTAGATAATAGACATCATGAAAATAGCTCATCAAAATTCATTAACGTTTTATTAATCCCATTTTTTGGAAACCTTTTTTTTTGATTTGAAGAATAATAATCTCTTTTAGCATATGATAACGTATTGCTGTGCTGCAGACAAAGCATTAGGGCATTCTACACAGTAAGTAGAGTTTTTCCTGTTTAGCGTTACTGGTACTCTAGGTGTTGATTCTCATGATCTTGGGGTACTTTCTGCACCTCTGTTTGTAATGTGAGTTTTCATGAGATTCAGTGGGTCACACTTTCTGGTGTCAGAGTCACAGATCAGAAGTCAAGGCAGGAAAACTCAATATTATCCTCTTTTGAAAAACTTATTTGGCCCCCAAAGGGGAAGGCTATCAGAACAACACTTAGCTGGGCTTCCTAGCTTCTCCAGCATGTCTTGTAGATAATTGTCTCTCCTCCTTGGTCCTGCTACTTCCCTGGACTGCAATATTTTCCCGGCTTCTGTTTGCCTGTTTAAATTCTAACCACACCTCAAGGCTTGTTGGAAGCCCTGTCAGCACCACGACCCCTTCCTCATCGATAGCCCAGCTCTCCTGTGATGGTCTTGTATAGCATTATTTTCTGACGTGTTGGTTCAGAATTATCATGCACTGAATTCACACATCTGCTCTTTGTAAGGCTGTATCTGTGGTAGCCAGCTTCCAAGATGGCCCCTAGTGATCCTCACTTCCTGGATTTCACATACTTGTGAAGTTTCCTTCCATATTTTATTAGGGTTGGTTTGTGTGACCAATAGTGTATGGCAGTAGTGATGGTATGTCACTTCTGATAATAGGTTATAAAAAGACTCTGGCTTCTATCTGGGGTGCATGCTCTCTCTCTCTCTCTCTCAGATTATTCTCTCTGAGGGAAGCCAACTGCCATGCTGTGGGACCACTCAGACACCCTGTGGAGAAGGCCACGTGGTGAAGAACCAAAAGGTCTCTGGTCAACAACCAGGGAAAAACTGAGGCCGGACAACAACTACCTGAAGCAGTGCTTCCCTTAGTGGTTGAGACTGCAGCCCCAGCAGACGGCTTCACGGCAACCTTCTCAGGTACTTGAGCCAGGTTCACCCAGCCAAACTGCTCTCAGCCCCCTGGCCTGCAGCAACTGTGAAAGAGGAAATGTTAAGTTACTAAGTTTGGGGTAATTTGTTGTGTAGCATTAGGTAACGGATACGGTACTTTCTCTCTCCAGCTAGACTATAAGCTCCTTGCAGAAAGATTCCTAGCTTCCTGATGCTACTCGTACATATCTATTGAATTCAAGACAGAACAATAGATAGAAAAATATTTTTATCTACCTGCTTAAAGTTTTACACAGATACTAACTATTCAGAACAGCGTTCTGTGAGGTAGGGAGCGAAAAAGTTGGCACTACTAATTCTCTTTCAATATGAGGGGGGCAAATTGAAGAAAATAATTTGACTATGGCCCTAAAACTTGGGAGCAGCTGATAGCAAGGCCCTGCTTTAGAATAGAACCATGAGGTCAGTGTTTTTCAAGTCTTTTCATTCCATCAGCTCCCTGGCAGCCCGGTGAAGGCCTCCTGTGCTGCTGCATCCTCTGGTTCTTCTGCAGGCACTGCTGTCATTGACATGCTAGGCTGAGGTCTAGTGCTCTGGGCTCTGCAGCCCTGTTACCCTCAGCAGTGTCACGCCACAGAGTGAAAAATCCTTGACTCTTACTCGTTACATCCATCACTGCATTTTTTGGTATTGGAGCTATGGTTTCAGATGACGATAACGTAACAAACCTGTTACAAAAAGAGGAAGAAAAGAAAACGCACCATCATATAGAAATGTTGCAAACTGAAAATTGAAGAGTACTCTCTCTGTCTTTTTCTTTAGTCACTGTGCACCAAGGTGCTTTGGCAAGAGAGATATTTTAGGACAAACAGTAACTGATATGAGGAACAGGAGTTGATTTGCTGCATCTATGAGATATAACTAATAACAGATGGATGCTATTTATAAACTCTACATGTTTATCCTAGTTCTTTTGAACTCTTTTCTATTCTGGGTCTATCAGCTGTTGCTGTTTGGATAATTAATTACACAACCAAACTCAGTTTGAAATTTTGAAATGTACATTCCCTATATGATCTGCATATTGAATTATCTTGTGCCTGCTGTTGAATGTTTTATATGCCACTTATTGCCTAAGACACACACACACACACATGCATAATGCATCAGTTTTTAAAACTTCATTTAAGTTTGTCTTTCGTTGTAGTCTTTCTTTCTTTTAAACCTTCCCCACACCCCTGGCCATATCTGTTTCAGCCTAAAACAGAACCAGTAAAAAAAAACGTGGCCTGGGCCAGCCTGGTGGCGTAGTGGTTAAGTTCATGCACTTCATTTTGATGGCCCAGGGTTCACAGATTCAGATCCGGAGAGCAGACTTATACACTGCTCATGAAGCCATGCTGTGGCGGCATCCCACATACAAAATAGAGGAAGATTGGCACAGTTAGCTCAGGGCCAATTTTCCTTTCCAATAAATAAAATAAAATGTGGCCTGAATTATCATACACTGTTTTTAAATGTATTAATAGAAGTTGTTTAAATCCTTATTAAATACTTTTTGATAGCAGGGCTTATAATAAGAAAATTGTTGAATCAGTTAGGCTTATTCAAATCCAAGATAACATTCTACTCCTAGCTTCTCTCTCTAAATAGGAATAGGGCATTTTTATAACCAGTAAACAAACTGATCATTAAAATAGAAGACCTGAACTGTCCAGAAGATCAAGGGAGGGAGTGAGTGAGGGAAGGTGGGACTGAGAGAGAGAGAGAGAGTGACGTGTGAATAGTACTACAATCAGTACAGTGGAGCACAAACTCCCTTTATCAGCTCTGAAGTCAAGTCTCTATCTGGTTAGGACAAAGTGAGTTAGGTTGGAAGAAGAGTATTTAAATGTCATTGAAGGTCAGGAAGGGTTTAACCAGTTCTGACTGGCACTGTTTTTTTTTTCCAGTTGAAAAGCACTCAGATTCCAAATTTCTTCCTTTTTGAAATTATCAAAGAATATCAAAGGAATTACTTCTAAGTTCATCTTTATATCCAAATGTCTGTAAAAGCACTTAAATGAAACTATTATCAATGGAAATGGAGTTTTATTCAGCAAGAGTTCAGAGCACAAAATCATCAGCAAAGTTGGCAGTTGGGTAAATAATTACCTATTAGATGAAAACAAAGTGTCGTATGTTAAATATATCTTCAAAAAATAGTTTCAGTCATAGTATTAAAAAAATTCTGCATCCATAAAGTTCATTACTGAAGAAACAGGTCTTAATTCTGTCTTAATAGTGATTTTTTTTTTAAATAAGAAGTTAAGCAGCTTTATAGATAGTCAGAGTACACAGGGAGATGAATGGATATTTAGAAACTGGCCAATGCCCTCACCTGTACTTCTGGGGCAGGTGGTGTAAAAGTGACCTGAAATGATGCCTATTGGCCAGAGTCCTTGGATTTTTCATGCCTAGTAATGTGGAGAGAGATTGAAGCTCGCCATCGGTTCAAAGATTCTTTCTGTGCATAGTCTAACTGCCCTTTCTGCTTATATCATAACTATGATCCTTTACAATTCTAAGATTCTGGGATTCTCTCATTTTATAATTATTTTTTATGCTTTAATACTTGTATTGAATTAACCAGTGATTTTTCTATTAGTTTTGTTCTACAGAACAAAAATAATACATGTAGATATTTACTACTTACTCCTAAATATTTACTGCTGCACTATTTATATATAGTTGTGCTATGAAGGTGATCTTATTGTAACTGACCAGCCTTAGTACATACTGTGCAGCTAGGAGACGGTGCCTCTCCATAATTCTGTCCTTAGAAGACTTCCAGAGAGGCAATGTGGAGGGTAAGAGGCTTGTGAATCAGTGAGGCTGGTAGCAGGAGTAGAAGAAGCAGGGGTTAAGAGCGTGCATTCCGGAGTTAGACGGCCTGGGTTCAGTCAAGTTCAAGCTCCACCAATTACGTACTGTGTGATCCTGCCTATTTCCCTTAATCTATTTGTGTGTCAGCTTCTTCAAATACAAATGGGAAATTAATTATAGTATTCACCTGATAGAATTGATGTGAGAAATAAATAACACACATAAGGTGTTTAGAGCAATGTCTTGACACACTTAGAAATGTAATCAATTGTTTATTATTGTAATTATTATTATTATAAGGTTCAGATTCCAGCTTTATCACATACCAATATGATCTTGTGTAATGTCTTAACCCTTCAGTTTACCCATCTCTGAATGAAGATTATAGACCTATCTCACAGGGTTGTAATGGGAATTATTGGCTTATTATGAAAATTACTGAATGTAGAACTTAGAACTTGGAGTATGTGAGTGCTCAGTAAGTACATTTACTATTTCATTCCTCTAACTTCTTCAGTGGCTCCCTAACTATGAACGTGAGGCTTAACGTATTTCTTAGAGTCCTGACCAGAGGTTTGAGAATGAGATTGAACTTGAGCTTTACAAGAGGAAATATTCTGATGCATCAACTATTAGAAACCAAGATAGGGTTTTTCTCGAGGTGAGGAGACTCAGAGAAAAATCCTTTTCTCCAAGCCAACTCACCCCAGTCTGGCACACAAAGCAGAATGCTAGCGAGGAAGACGGCTGATGAGCAGACTGCTGAGGAGGTAAATTCCTTTCTCATCCATAGGAAGTTCTGCTGGGAAGTCGATACACCATAGACAGTTGTTTATCTGGTGATTCTCCAGGACAGGGCTCCACAGGGTGGGCTCCAAGTCCCTGAGACCCTGTTAAGGATCTGTGAAGTCAAAATGATTTTTATAACAATATTAAGAGGTTGTCTTTTTCACTGTCAGTCATGAGTGTGCAGTGGAATTTTCCAGAGTCTACCTGATGTCTGATGACGTCATCATTCTGACAGCTAATGGAATGTGCGATTATGTATTTTGCATTTTAAATTTTTCTCAGTTTTAGTTTCTATTATGGTAAATATGAATAGATATAACTCATATAAAGAAAAGCTCTTTGGGGTCCTCAATACTTTTTAAAGGTGTGAAGGGGTCCTGAGATGAAAATGTTTGAGGATCGCTTATCCAGGAGAACGGGACCGTTTTATTTCTGGAATGGGACCGTTCTCTAATTTATGTCTGGATGTATTTGTTGCTCGAAACTGCCTAGAATACTCACCTGCTTCCTTGAGTCTTTGCTCCCTTTTTTCCAGACGTATGAAGACCATGCCAGTGCTATTGATGCGTCCTCCTCCTACAAATTACAGTGGGATTGATGAGATGCAGTTTCCTTTGACCAAAACCATTTTTATGGCACCCTGAGACTCTACCCTAGTCAGTTTGATCAGATTCAGCCACATTCTACTGTAATTCTGGATTTTGGATACATCCTGTTTCTCTAATCATCACATTTACAATGTACCTCTTACAGTGGGCCATTTGGTTGATATTTCTCTAACTTCGTCTCAGAGACCATCCCAGTCTTACAAATTCTAGCCTTTGTAATGGAACTTCCACCACTGCATTTACTGTACCAAATAAAAATAGTAAAAGCAAATATGGAATTTGTTAAAATTGTTCCAAGTTAAATTTGGTGTTTGTTCTTCCCTATCCTGAATTGATGTAAATCATAAAAGTCATTATTCAGACACATGAAATGACATCTGGAAAACAAAGCTGTGTTACTATTCATCTGAAGTGCTTATGAAAAGCTGTTAAAGTGAATAATTTGAAGAGCTTGGAAATATATTAATTCTGTATGAGGCAATCATGCAAATTAAGAGGGGCCCATAGGTCCTTGGTCAAATTGGATAAGGCCCAAAAGAAATTTAGTTTTGAACAATAATTTTAATACCTCTTAAAAATATTACCTACATTTATTGATTATGTCTTTGTTAGATGTTTTCTTGCCTCTAACTGCAATTTAGAAAGACTGGCAAAAATATAAGAAGGCTATTGAATTCTCAATTTTTATTTTTCTATACTACAAAGTTTAACACTTAATTACAATCATATTTTGTACTCAACTTGCTTTTTTAGTCATTTTTTGAATGCTGAACTAGAGATTTGAAGGTTTTTTAGTTTCAGCTCTGGTTACTAGCTATGTAAATCTCAATTGTTTAATTTCTAAAGTAGAAATAATCATCCCTTTTCCGTCATCAAATTATGTGAGCATCAAGTTGTTCATAAACAATAAAGTCTTCTAAAAACTAAAGGTCTTGTTAAGGTCTCCCGAGGAGAACCGAAGCCTGGATTTGGGTTTACTTCTTACTGGTTTATTGGCTGTGTGATTTTAGATATGCTATTTAACCTCTCTGAGCCTCAGTTACTTCATTGGTAAAATGAGAAGAAAAAAACCCTGGAAAAACCCCCAATTCCCTCTTGAATCTCTCGAGTAGTTTTGGGGTACTTACAGAGGTGCCAAGGGTACTCTATGAGATGTTGCTCTTGCTTATCCAGGGCTCCCCATTTCCCTCCTATACTCCTCTGCCTCAGTGTAGCAACGTGTCCCATGGCTGCAGCAGCTGCTGATGTACTATTATCTGTCGCTGAGTAACAGATTACCTCAACATTTTGTGGATTAAACAATAAAAATTTATTATCTCACAGAGTCTATGGGTCAGAAATCCAGAGGTGGCTTAGCTGGGTGTTTCTGGCTCAGGGTCTTTCAGGAAGCTTCAGTCAAGATGCTGGCTGAGGCTGTGGTCATCTGAAGGCTTGACTGGGGCCCGAGGGTCTGCTGCCAAGATAGCTCACATCCAGGGCTGTTGACAGGAGGCTCAGTTCAACGGTGTGCTGAAGCTGGCTCGTGCCTGCTTTCAAGAGGGAAGTGTTAAAATTTAAAAATTTTGCAAGCCAATTATTAAACACAGACATTATTGGAAATTATGTAAACTTTATTTAAATAAATTATATTAAAAGCTAAGGTAATAAATACTCGAAGCTCTTCACTTCCTCATTGTTTTACTACCTTTTTCCTTTCTTGAAGGTCTCGTGGTTATTTATCTCTATTGCGTCTGTAGGGAGGAAATACTGCATGGTTGTGTCAGGCTGCACATCTCAGTCTCAGCCTATCTTTGAATTCAATGACGTTAAGTTGGTAGCTTGAAATCAGCCACGGTGGGAGTATTTATACTATCGATATCTGCAAACACTACAAATCAGAACTTAGTTTATTGTTGTATTGATTGTTCAGACTTTAGAAAGTGCAAATTGTGTCCTACATATCCTTTATAATGGTAAAATTACATATGTATATACTAACATACAGGAGTCAGGGAACATTGGGGACCATTTTGGAGGCTGACTACTACAGTACTACCTCCTGGTGTGTGATGATTCATGTCTCTTCCACAAGCAAAATACACTCACACCCCTCCCAAGACCCCCCCAAATCTCATTCTGTGACAACCTCAGCTTGAAGTGCAGAATCCCATTGTTGAAATCAGGCGCAGATACAGATGTGGCTCAGGTATAGTTTTTTAAGTACAGCTCCTGAGTACAGTTGCTTTTGATCTCAACACTTGTGAACCTAAAGAACCAAGCGATTTTCCTCCAACACAACCAACACATGGTGGTGGGATAGGGGTAAGATGACTGCAGTAGACACTCTAGTTTAAAAAGGCGGAAAACAGGAAGTACACAAGTGTCAGTGGTCTGAGACCTAGCTGGGCATATTTTGGAAGTTGCTTGATGAGGATGTAGTCCTACTACTTCTCCACGGTTCTTACGTTTACCCTCTAAGCCCTTGGCTCTGAGTCACTTATCTTTTTCCATGAAAGGTAAGCCAGGTTTGCAGCTGCATAGCTTTCAAGCCTGTTCACTGCAAGTTGAATTTTGGGAGTCCAAAGTCCTTTTTGCCCTTTTTTGCCGTTTCTGTCCCTTTCAGTTCAAGGTAGTGGTGTTTCTGCCAATATAATTGTCTTAAAAATTTTGTATGTTCCTTATTAGACAAAAGCCATGTCTGCAAATCTTTTCGAGATAAGTCCTTGTCTAACTTGAGCTTCTGCTGAGATTGCTGAGGAAATTCACCCTTAAGCGTCTTAGAAGCCCTATTGTTTGACTGAGCAGTTGCCTGAAGCATCATATTAGACCTATGTGAGGTTTTAGCAAAGGGCTTTATAACCACAACTTTGACTTTATCATAAGACCGTATTTTCCTGGTAATGTCCTGGGCTTCATCTTTTCCTGGAAGCCATTTCTTAACTGGGACGTTGTTAGTCATCTGGAGAGGCTGGGAAGTTTGAAAACCAGGAAGTCCTTGTTCCTTTTTGTTTAAAAGTCTTTCCTTCAGCTTATCTCTCTCTGCTTGCATTCTGCTATCAGCATCAAGAAGCAATCAAGCAGCACCTTCAACACTCTGCATTGACGTCTTTTTAGCTAGAGCACTCCATTTGCATGGTACATTTCCTACTTTCAATGTAACTGCAGGAAATAGTGTCACTAAACTTTCTGATACTACATAACAGCACCCCTTTTCCTCCAGTTTCCAATAAGCTTTTCATCCATCACCTTTAAGTCCCAACTTAGACCCTCTTTAAAGGCGATCTGGCTTCTAACAGCCTGTTCACCACACGTTAGGCTCCCACTATACTCTCCCCAAAGTCCTTGCCACTTCTGCCCACTGCCTTTTCTAAAACCACTTCCATATTTTTAGTTATTTGTTCCTCTGGTACTCTACTTTCAATACTAAAATCTGTATTAGTTATATACTGATATGCAACAAATTATTCCAAAACTTAGTAGCTTAAATTACTAAACATTGATCATTTCACCAGTTTTGTGGGTCAGGAATCCAGAGCAGCTAGGCTGGGTGATTCTGGCTGGAGATCACTAATGAGGCTGAAGTTAAATTTTTGGCTTGGGACAAAGTGAACTGAAGGCTTGACTGGGACTGGAAGATCTACTTCTAAGATGGCTCACTTGCAAGGTTGTTGACAGGAAGCCTCAGTCTGTCACTGGTGTTTTGGCAGGAGCCCCCGTTCCTCTCCATGTATCCTACCTATAGGGCTGTTTAAGTGTTAACGGCAGCTGACTTCTCACATAACAAGTGATCCAAGAGAGAAGAAAAAATTACAGCTGCGTTGTATTTTATGACCTATTCTGAGAAGCCAAACACTGACATTTCCACAATATTCTACTGGTTTCATAGATCCACCCTATTCAATCAACATGGGATTATACAAGGACATAAACACCAGAAGGCAGAGATCCTTGAGAGCTATCTTGGAGGCTGGCTACCACAGATACCAAATTCAGCATCTATGCCACAGTTGTTCACCGAAGATTTCTTGCTACTGGGACTTCACATATAGACCAGAGCTGTATGGAGGTGCTGTGCTTGGTGCCTGGGCTGAGGCTGAGAACTACTGAAGTTGAGATTGCTGATGTCTCTTAGGTAAACACAACGTTTACAAAGCACCACTACACTGCCTAGAGCCGAATAAGCATGGCAAGAATAATGTTTTTTCTTCTCATTCTTATTTTATAGAAGATTCTGGATCAAATTCTGGCCCGGAAATGCAATTGGCAGCTTCTGGCACAAATATGGAGGACAATCTTGCTCTCGCCATGCCCATCGAAACTGTAGTGAAAAACTCTTGGTTTTCACTGGTCCCCTGTCATAGTCCTTTGACTGGGTCCTGGGGAGTTGGGTCTGTGGACTCTCTGAATTATGGGCACTGTGCTTCCCTCCAGCCCAGTGACTGGGCTCTTAGCTTATCTTTGAATCAAATTTTGTCTTTGAACCAAATCAAATGTCCCCTCCTTTCCATTTTGCCTAAATATTAATTGTTGTCACCCTTCATCTCCAGCCTGGGTCTCTTCACATCTTCATGCGAGTAATCTCTGGAGGCTCCACCCTCACTTCAGGCTCGATAGTACATGCCTGAATCGTATTTGTGCTTGGACTGGGGCATTTTCTGCTACTAACACTTGAAGCAACTAAAAACACTAAGCAACTAAGCTTAGGATCTAAAACTGTTAGTTGACTGAAGAAGCAATGTATGTTCTCAACCTAGGAGGCTGGTGCCTTCTTTTCTCATCTGTAGCTCATCTCTGAGCAACTGTTATCAGGCCCCAAACATAAATGGTACTGTTGTTGGATATCATTTTTTGATCATATTTGTTTGGGGCAGAAGATACTGCCTTGAAGTTGACCCTTCTGTTTGATTTCTGACGAAATTAGAATGAGAATCAGGAAAGTGTGGAATTGTTTGAAGAGTTTGGTGCTTGACATTTGAAAAAAAAATCTCTTTCTCCAGGCACAGTTGTTCAAAGCAAACAATGCTGCGCAATGCATTACGTACAAGCCAGTTCAGGTGCAGCTTTTCAGAATTCTCTTGTCCTGTGTCTGTTTCCACCACTGAACACTCTGGTGATTCTATTTCCTGAAGACTCTGTGGAGCCCCACATGCAGGCATGATAGGGTCCTCTGAAGTGGGATCACAGCACAGAAAATAGAGGGACAACTGCATTTTAAAATAGTGATACCAACCACATAGACTACAGATTACAAAGATAAATGCTACCATTATTTTTAAATATTCGAATAAATTATTTCATAAAAGTGACCTAGATTTGTTTAGAATGGGATAATATGAGAGGAAATCAATTGTTAGCAAAAAATCAACAGATAGGGACTTTGATTTAGGATTTGGCCTCCTCTTTTTAGGTTGATTTGAATCAGATAAGCCAGGGATTTACCAGCTCTTTATACTGTCTCTTTGGAGGCCTTACATGAGGTGGACAGGAACAGGCTCAGGGGAAAGAGCCACAAGGCCTTGGAGAATCAGGGGGAGGAGTGGGTGTATGGGAAAATTTCAGGAAAAGTCTGGAAGAAACCATGGGCCTGAAAAACAAGAGGGCCTGGGTGTCTACTCTGAAAACGTAGAGAGAAAAGAAAAACTAGGCAGAAAGAAGTATATAGAAGCTGAACTCCAGGCCTGTATGAATCGTGATGGATGATCGCCCCTTTTAGCTTGTTGGCCCAAGTAGATTCAATTGTTTTTTCATTCATTTGGCTTGTTCATTCATTTGTTCTCAAAAATTATTTTTGACAGCTACTCTGTGTTAGATACTATGCAAGCTCTGCAGAACCAATCCCACTATTTTAGGTTTTTTGGCTCCACCCTAGCTAACATCTGTCAAGTCTAGTTCAAGGCATTGCCCATTCATATAATCAATATCTTGAGGATCAAATACAATGCCCCATAGCCATCCCCCAACAGCCAAGTGTGTATACTTTTAAACTTCAAGACACAGTAGAGAGAGTGAGCTTCAGAGCCAATCCTTTAAAAGCAAGGCTTCAGGTAGTCCAGCGCATTTCACATCTCAAAGGCAAAAGGATGTGCGAAGCCAAATGAAAAGAAGATGGAACTCTGGAAACATAACCTGGGGGGCTAAGTTAAACCAGCTGTAGCAGAAGTGGCGACGCTGATCCTTGCTCTGAGAGGTCAGAGCTGATTTTCAGCCTGTGCCTCTGAAATGATTTTCACTGCGGACACAGCTGCAAGTTCTCTGTCAAAGGCAGATGGCTCCCTGGAATACGTTTCATCTTCTACATCTCTGGCTCACTAGTATTAGCAGTGCTGTAGGTGTTCCTCCTACTGCTGCTTTTCTCAAGCTAGAGGTGTGCAGTAACAGAGGCTCCGCAAATGCAGGCTGGGTTTCTTCCTTGGCTTGGTCTTTGCAATATATGACTTTATTAAAGATCATATAAAAAGGCAATAAGGAGGCAGAATCAAAGTCATAATTTTGCATAACCATTAGACTGAAGCAGTCATTCATCGTGCTTAAATATTTTCCTAAAGCAAAAGAAAATATGAGAATGAGTCACGCCGTCCAGGCCTCGTTCTCTTCCGGAGGCGAGCTGCAGCGCTGGCGATGGAGGGAGCCTGCAGGCAAAAACAGCCCTGCCTCTCCACCCACGCTGCCTGTGTGGGACTGCCAGTGAGTCCTCGGAAGTCATCACTGTTACAAAATGACAGCATGCAAATTAAAGAAAAAAACATTTAAAATGTGTTGCAGTTAATATTCTTTGGGTTTGTGTTTTCGTATTGCTGTACTGTTAAAGTATAAGGAAGATGTTCCCCATCTTGCATATGTCTTGCTACGAGGTTAATTTTCCATTAATTCACATCTTAATCACATTCAACAAGCCTTAAAGGCCTGTCCAGGATGGGAAAAGCACAGCTTGTAACTATTCTGCAGTTCCAATTATCTAACCACCCACACTTTAAAACCATACTCTTCTTTAATCATACTTATCATTTTCAAAAAGGTGCTTCATTTGAACTCAAGCAGCTGAAACAGTTTCATTATTTTAGATAAAGCTTGCTTTATTTCCTTTTGTTTTTAGTTACTTTGTTGAACATTATGTAAGTCACTGTATCAAAACAATATCAGTCTGTACATATTTGGGGAAAAATCATTATCTCTAAACTTGAAAGAATTGAGCAATTAATTGAGAGTCATTGCTGTGCATTTAATTATATTTCATATTAATATTAATAAACTGTTAAGGTTTCTATAAAAATCTCACATTAATTATTTGATAAGGTCAGAGGAAAGCTTGACCCATCTGAGAATTTGAGTCAAATTTCTACCCAGAGTGATTACACTAAAAGAAGGAAAAATCCCCCAACATTTTGGCATGTACATCTTGGAGGACTTCGAGGTTGCCTTATTTTTCTCTTTTTCTCAGACAGAAATGTACCTTAGGCAAAGATAATTTGTTTTTCATAATTTTTCTGCATTACTTTTCTATGATTAAGTATTATTCTCCAGCTATTTCAACTAATTATCATTGTCTCCCTAAAGGCTGATGAAACAAGGAATCTGAGCAGAATTAGACTAATTTTACTCCATGGCTTATTAGGCATCCACGAGCACGTGTTACTGTGCTAAGTACTGTATCAAGCAAGTCCAATAGCTATTATCCCTGCCTTCCACAGGGTCACCCCCGAAAATTCAGCACAACAACCTGCATAGGCGTAGGAGTGATTAAACAGCAGCATGGCGCACTTCCACGTAGCCCGGGGAGGAACAATCAAGGTATGAAGAGAAGGCACCTCACAAGAATGAGGGAATATTGACGTTACTCACCCTTTTGAGTAAGCTCCCCTTTTAGTCCTCTCAATGCTTTGTGTGAAAGCAAGATATGGTACACTGGAATTTGGGAAGGACAGAAGGAGGTGGACTGGAAAAATTGTCCTTTTCGTCATTTCACTTGCAACAAAGCTATTCACACTTTAGCTTGTTGTTTCTACGTTCCTCTCTGAGCTCTGACGTTTATTTTAGGTCGGGACCATTTTCTATTCTCTTTGTATATGGTGTCTTTTCTGTTTACTGAGGAATGATGAAAATACTGATTGAAGAGAATAACTAACTTTGCTTTCTTAATTGTGCTTGGCACCCCGTTGTCTCCTTGCATGTGGTAAGTCATCAAAAATGCACACTCCTCAGAGTACACAATTTTAGAATATGGAAAAATGAATAGAAGACCTATATTTTGTTTAATCACTTTTTGAAGTGTCTACATCAGTAAATTTAATTATATTCCCAGCCAAAAATATAGTAATTATGGATATCAAACTTCCTGCATGGAAAGAACTCAACAAAGACCTAAGTAAAAATTGAAAAAGTGACCCATGGCTCTTGCTGTAGATCAGTGGGTCGTTCCCTTAGAGATATGGATTTAATTGGTTTGGGGTGGAGTTCAAACATCATTAAAATTTAAAGCTCCCTTGGTGATTCTAATATGCAACCAGGTTGAGAACTACTTTAGCAGAGTAACTAGATCAGACTTTCAGTATATAGAGAATTAGGACCAATAAACACATTTTCTATTATACTGGCTAATAGGAGAAACCTGAGAAAGATTTGCCAAGCTGGTTAGATTTTTAAAATTACAATAAAATTAGTAGTGTATAACAAACCCTACTCATTACTAAATTGATTTACTGACGTATAGGTGATTTGATTTTATTACACTAAAAATATTGCAGCAAAATTGACAGAATTCAAAATAAAAATTAGGGGCTGGCCCAGTGGCACAGTGGTTAAGTGTCCATGTTCCACTTTGGCGGCCTGGGGTTCGCCAGTTCAGATCCCGGGTGCGGACATGGCACCGCTTGGCAAGCCATGCTGTGGTAGGCGTCCCACATATAAAGTAGAGGAAGATGGGCACGGATGTTAGCTCAGGGCCAGTCTTCCTCAGGACTAATCTTCCTCAAGTAAATAAATAAATAAATAAAGTTAAAATTAAATAGTTCTGTAATTATATCACTTGAAGATGTCAAACCTTTTCTCCTTTCGATCTGGTCCCCTTACATAATTGTCATCACAAAGGAATTATGCTTAAGCATTCACTTTGCTGCTTAGATCAAAAGATAAGCATTTTATTTTTCCTATCAGTGCATTGATTGCATTGTACTGTAATTGTTTCTTCACTTATGTACATCGTCCAATAGACTTTTCAAAGCTCTGTGAGACTAATGATATCATTTTCTTGCTCCCCCCCCTTTTTTTTTTGCTGAGGAAAATTTGCCCTGAGTTAACAGCCATGCAGACATTCCTCTAATTCTTTTTAGTATATGGGCTGCCAGCACAGCGTGGCTGCTAACAGAGTGGTGTAGGTCTACACCTCAGAACCGAAACTGGGCCACCAAAACGGAGAGCACCAAACTTAACCACTAGGACACCAGGTCTGGCCCTTGCTCATTCTTTTATTTCAGTGCCTAGCACAGTCTTGGTAGGTATAGTACATAATATTTGTTAAATGATCCAATGTTCCTTCATATAATTCATATGAAATCAGTTAAGTCAACTAAAGTGCCGAGAATAGGGCCTAGTATATTGAAAGTACAAATGTTAGCTTTTATTTATATTAATAAATTACAATATCTGCATAATATTATATAAAGTATGATTTCTTGAGCATTTCTTAGTTTTTATACATTTGGGCTCTTTCCATTTTTTCCAACATTGTAAATAGATTAGAAGAATATTTTCATGCATATAGTCTGTTTCTTCTTTTTGATTGTTTTCTAAGATAAGTTTTCCGAAGGATAATTATTGGATCGATGAATAAATCATTTTTATAATTTTTGAAAATGATTGTCGTGTTACTTTAAAAATACTTATTATGGAAATTTTCAAATTCATACGAAGTAAACAGGATAGTATAATGAACCCCCACGTATCTCTCATCCAGCTTCAACATACATCAACTTTTTGCCATTCATGTCTCATCTGTGCCTCACCCTGTCCTCTCATTATCTGGGTACACTCTAGTTTGTTTATCCAGTCACCTACTGATGGATATACGATCTACTTCCAGTTTGGCTGTTAAGAGTAAAACTGCTGTAATCATTCACGTAAAAGTGGATTTTTTTGACAATAGGTTTTCATTTTTCGGGGGTAAATACCTAGATGTGGAGTTTTGAGTTGTATGGTAAGTGAATGTTTAGGTTTGTAACAAAGTATAGAATCTTTTTCTAAAATGGTTGAACTATTTTATATTCTCATTAGCATCATTTTTTGGGTGTAAATACCTAGATGTGGAGTTTTGAGTTGTATGGTAAGTGAATGTTTAGGTTTGTAACAAAGTATAGAATCTTTTTCTAAAATGGTTGAACTATTTTATATTCTCATTAGCATTAGCAAAGTGTGAGAGTTCCAGTTGCTCCACATCCTTATCAACACTTGGAATAGACATTTTCAATATTAACCATTCTAGTGGCTATGCTGATTTTTCATGGTTTAATTTGAATTTCTCTGATGACAATGATGTTGAATATCTTTTCATGTTATTATTGGCCATTCATATATCTTTTTTTGTGAAGTAATTGTTCAGATCTTTTACCTATTATTTTATAGGATTTTTGGCCTTCATATTATGAAGTTTGTTATATATTCTACACACATGTCCTCTGTTGGAAATAGTCACTGGGAACATTTTCTCGTGATTTTGGACCTCCTTGTCACTTTGTTAATGGTGTCTTTTGAAGAGTAGAAGTTTTTAATTTTGATAAGATGCAGTTTATCAAATTTTTTTATGGTTTATGTTTTTTTGTCCTATCTAAAAAGTTTTGCTATGCTAAATTTGCATGAATTTTCTCCTATATTCTTTCTAGAAATTTTATAGTTTTAGGTTTTATGTTTAGGCTGAACCATTTAGAAATAATTTTTGTATGACATGAGTAAGGGTCATTTTTCATTTTGGCTACATAATTCTTGCATTGCTACTTGTTGAAAAAATTATTAATTTCCCTTGGCAACTTGTTGAAAATTAATTCACTATATGTGGGTTTATGCGTATACATATGTGTGTATAAACAGAATAGTATTGTGAACCTCTATCTACCCATCAGCCGGCTCAACAACTATCAACATCCTGCCATTCTTCTTTCACCATGCTCCCTTCCTTTCCCCTCACCGGTTATTATTTTCAATAATTTTTTTGAGATAATATTTCCATACATTTTTTTATGTGTTTTATAGTTTTAACTTTAATGTTTAGGCCTGGTATCCATCTGAAATTACTTTTTGTATACGGTGTGAGACAAGAGTCAATCTCCATTTTTTTTTCAAATGGCTATTCAGTTGTTCCAGCACATTTTTAGGAAAGATTTTTCTTTCCCTATTGAATGGGTTTGTCGCTGCTGTTGAAATCTTGTTGGTCATAAAAGCATGGATCTATTTCTAGTCCCTATGTTCTGTTTGCATTGATCTATTTGTGCCATGTTACAATTTAGTGCCAGTTTTTAATGTCATCAGCAGTGAAATTTTAAGAATTCGAGGTAGCTTCTTAGTAGGTTTCCTTAGAAGGGAAGTTTGAGTTGCGACTTTTTATGTAAATGATTCTTTGAAGGTATGCTCTCAGGAGTAACCTGTAAGAAACTAAGGGAAACAGGATAGGGCAGAGGAAACTAGGCAAAAATATGGCTTCAGGAGGAGTCTAGCCTCAGCCTAATTCTAGGGTGAGATCTGGAGAATGAATTGTTCCACAGAGGTTATTTTGCCCAGAGGTAAGGAGGCTGGGCTGTTATACCATAATTCAGTTGTTATTGGCTATGCGCCACCTCCCCAGGGACGATGTCATCTCCCAGGAATCTCCAGGTGAGTTGGCTTCCCCCAGTCAAGGGCATCTCTGGAGCAGGATGAGATGTGAACCATTAGCACCAACACCACACCTGGGAGATGAGTGGACCTCCCCAGAGAAGCACGCGTGGGTGGGCACCAACAGCATCTGTCGAAGGAGTATTTTTGAGGACAGCATCAGCGAAATTCCTTTCAGGTTTCTGTCAAAGCACCATTTGTGACTCTGGTGACTTTGGGCTGCCATTTTGCTGCTTATTTCTTGAAGTCAGCTCTTTTGCTTTCTTAGGGCAAGCCTAACTTGTGATTATGGGGAAAGTTGGAATTGTTCAGCACTTAGTAGGTTAATACTTGCCTTCCTAATGAGGCACATAGGCAAATAAATGGTGATCTCTATTATCATCAATGTGTATATTTAAGATGTACTCCTGTCCGTGAGTCGAGAAGTAAGTGATTCTAAAATTATGATGGTTCTCAATGGCTCTTAGAAATCCAAAGTTAAACAGAGAACTTTAAAATTTACAAGGATCTGTTGTACTTGAAGCCAAACTAGATATGTGTGGAATCATTAGCTTTCTACTTGGTGTGAGGCTTGACCCAGCAGCTTTCATCATGAACTCAACTTTTCTAGTGGACAACAGGAAGCACTTCTGATTGCTCAAATCTCTATCTGCATTTCTGAGTTCACTTTGAATGAGCCAAAAATAGAATTCTGTGTTGCTTTGAATAAACAAGGCAACAGCAGCACTTCACTGCTCTGAAGCAATATCTGTTTATTAAGGAGACTGTCCTGTGCATAAGTGAGCATTCAGCTAGAGTGGC